TGGGCCACCCAGCACACAGAAGAGGGCCCCCTGATTCTCCCTGTGGGATGGAGAGAAGGTGAGCATCAGATCCAGAGCCCGGTTCCTCATGGGATGATATGTCTTGGTCTGATTATAAAAGACTGAGACCTAATCATAAGACTATAGAGAAATTCCCTTTCCCCTACACCTCACCAGAACATTACTAAAAACCTATTTGTAGCAGTTCCTTTTACTTAGTATATTTTGTCCAGCTATCAAGAAAAAAAATTACAAGGTGTAGTAAAAGACAAAAAAACATAATTTTAAGAGACAGAACAAGCATCAAAACCAGTCATGGCAGGAATACTGGAATTGCACACTGGGAGTTTAAGATAACTATGATTAATACACTAAGGGCTCTAATGGATAAAGGAGACAGAGTGCAAGAACTGATGGTCAATGTAAGAAGAATAATGGAAATACTAAGAAAGAACCAGAAAGAAATGCTAATAATCAAAATACTGTAACAGAAATGAAGAATGCCTTTGATGAGCTCAATAGTAGATGGGATACAACCAAGGAAAGAAGTTCAGTGCTTAGGCTACTGACAAGGGATTAATATCCAAAATATGCAAACAGCTCATAACAGCTCAATGACAAAAAAAAAAAAACCCAATCAAAAAATGGGTGGAAGATCTAAATAGACATTTCTCTAAAGAAGACAACAGGCACATGCAAAGATGCTCAACATCATCAATTATTAGAGAAACACAAATCAAAACCACAATGAGGTATCACCTTATACCAGTCAGAATGTCCATTATCAAAAAGTCTACAAATAAGAAATGCTGGAGAGGGTGTGGTGAAAAGGGAACCCAAGGGACAAGGAAGCCCATGCTGATTGAGGGAAAGCCAAGAGCAGGTGGGCGGAAGAGGGTGACTTCCTTTTATATAACGTGTGACACTGTGCTTCAAGTCCTGTATTCTCTTCATCTTCTGGCCTTGTAATTTGGCTGATCTGTGTGTGCTCACAGGATACGGAGAAGGTCGAGATAGGAACCCAGAGGGCTTGTCCTGAACGGTGACAGAGGAGTGTAGGGCAGGGGCAGAATGGAGTGGCGGAAATCTGAGGTGAAAAATGACATATGGCATCTGAGGCCGGGTTGGCTGCTGTGTCTGGAGGAAGAATGAGAATTTGTGAGCAGGCTATAAGGGGAGAAGCAGATACCAGAGCCACCTGAAAGGGAAGATGGGCAGAACACAGGGCCAGGATGGACTGAAAGGCCTCTCCCAACTTCAACCCAGCCTGTGAATTTTCTATGTTCAGGCCCTGGGGTTCTCTGTTCCACGGGAGATCACTGGGGGCACAGGGTGCAAGCCACACTCCCGCCCCTACTTGGCCCGCCTGGAAATTATCACCCCACCAGGATAAGCTGGTGGCATGTGGTGGTTTCCCGGTAAGAAGGGACTTTGTGCTGACGGCTGCTCAATGTACAGGAAGGTAAGACATCAAGGTCTTTTCATCTCTAAATGGGAGGTAAACAGCCAGGGAAGAACCAGGGACACCCCCTGGGGCCTGGACTTGAGTCTCTTTAAGGAGGGGCAAGACCTGGGCCTAAGGAAAGCAGTCTCATAATTGAAGAGCTGCCCTGACCCTCAGTCAATGTGAGCTCAGCTCCCCTACAAAGGAAAGGAGCCCCATCCCAACATCCTCCTCTAAAAGTAGCTCCTCCTCCCTGACCCCAACACAGGAGACATGGACTCAGTCTTCAGGGTCCCATGCCATTCGCTGGCCACTTCCTCTATGCCCTTTCCGAGAACACTGGCCTTTAGTTCCCAGGAACCTGAACTCACTGTTTCCATCAGAGGCCAAGAACAGAGTCCACCTGAGACCCCACCACTTCCCCCTTACCTCTGATACCTCTGGCTCAGAGGGCTGGCCCTCCCTAGGGCTCCCTGATTAGGAAGTGCCAACCCAGTGCCCTAGGTCCTCTGTGGCCTGTTCAGTCCCCAGAAGGTCCCAAGAGTCCTGGAAATTGTCTCTGTTCCTTGGGAAAGCTCTTTCCTGAGTAAAACCTGAGTCCCTCAAATACCAAAAGTGACCAAGGAAAAGGGAGAGGGGTGGGTAGAGACCATTGACCCCAGGAGAGACTCCATACCCTTTTCTCAAAATGGGGATATCTCAGGGAGAACCCAAACTATCACTGTTTCTCTTTGTCCTTCTTCTCCCTAACAAAGGTCTATAATGTTCACCCTGGGAATTCATAACATAAAAAAGAAAGAAGACACATGGCAGAAGCTTGAGGTCATAAAGCAGTTCCTTCACCCAAATTATAACGACTCTTTTGCTCACCATGACATCATGTTACTGAAGGTGCAAATTCTTCTTCCCCTTCTCCCCTTCCTGTTCCCTAGGGCTTCCTTCTCCCCTTCCTGCTGTCTAGGCTGCTTCTTCAGGTTCCATTGCTCTGACATTTCCCCAACCTGACTCTCTCACAACTCACCCCTCTGAAAGTGGCTCTAATGGGGAGCAACTTGCCCCATCCTTTCCTGATTGCCTCCAACTGCTCCCAAACCCACTTCTAGCACTGACACGCTCATCCCCTTTACAGCCGGAGGAGAAAGCCAACCTGACCCTGCCATGGGGATGCTCCCCCTTCCACCCCAATTCAGCTTCCTCCCACCCGGGGCAGTGTGCCACGCGGCTGGCTAGGGAGGAACCCGAGCAGAGGGATGGGGCTCCAACACTCCGCGAGGGGTGAAGCTGAGAGTCCTGGAGCCCCGGGCCTGCAGACTCTTCACTACTTTTGACCATGGCCTCCAGTTGTGTGTGGGCAGACCCCAGAAGACAAAATCTGCATTTAACGTGATCCTCAGACCAAGGTCTTCTCCACAAATCACTGTTCAGGGTCCATACATCTCCGGGAAGGAGATGGAGTCAGAAGTTTGTCAGCGGTGACAAAGTTTGAGATCATAGGATTGAGGAGCTAGAATTTTCCCTCTGCAGACTGTCCTCCCACAGCCCCAGGCAGTCTCTGAGCATCCTTCCCAGGCTGGGGCACAGAACTCATCGGGTGTCATGAAGGAGAGGAAGAAGCAGAATCAGACTGAGATATATCACCCCATGAGGAACCGGGCTCTGGGTCTGATGCTAGGTCCGACCAACTCAGAGTTGGGACCACGGGAAGGAGTGGGTGGTTTCCCTGGCTCACCTTCTCCCTCTCTCCCTCTCCCTCTCCGTCCCACAGGGAGAATCAGGGGGCCCTC